TTCACAACATTTTAATTAGCACTTCAGGAGTTGCATGTTCTCTCTCCTCCTCAAATGTCAAAGTTCTTCCTCTTACACTACTCATTAATGCAGCAGAGGAAAAGCAGAGCACTCAAGTTCAAAACGTCTAACAGTTTAAAGTTTAACAGAAGCGCTATACATATACATAAACATGTACATGTACACGTTTATGTACCAGGCATCTTTTCAATGCAAAGCATGAAAACTCTGGATGAACAAAAATCAACACTGTAACAAGACAAACAATTTCTGAATGTTCCAGGTTGACCGTTTAAACCTGAATGAAATTCAGATTGTTTTCATTTGATGAGTGCTTTGCAAGAATCGTAAACTAGAGGAATATTTGCTTTCAGTTTATCATTCCCTCTGTAATGTGTTAAGTCAGACCATTTATTATGGGTTGAGTTATATTGCAGAATGGTGGAAATCCGTTTGAACTATTATGAGTATCACAAGGTCTCAGGGTGTGCCTGCTGTTAAACAAGCAAACAAACAAACAAAACCTTGCTCTGGATATTGTATTTAAAATAGAATCCACAAAAGATAGCTGGCAAAGATGGGCTCATCTCGAGAATCCAAAGAGAGAATACAAACTGAGAATACCAGAATATCAGAATAACTGAGTTGGAAGGGACCTTGGAGGTCATCTAGTCCAACCCCCTGCTCAAGCAGGAAACCCTATACCATTTTGGACAAATGTTTGTCCAATCTTTTCTTAAAAACTTCCAGTGTTGGAGCACCTACAACTTCTGGAAGCAAGTCCAGAGAACACTGATTAATTGTTCTCACTGTCAGGAAATTTCTCTTCAGTTCTAGGCTAGTTCTCTCCTTGATTAGTTTCTATCCATTGCTTCTTGACCTACCTTCACAATCTTTAGAGAACAGGTTGACCCCCCTCTTCTTTATGGCAACCCCTTAGATTTTGGGACACTGCTATCATGTCACCCCTATTCCTTCTTATCATTAAACAAAACATACCCAATAGTAGAGCAGAGATGTAGGGCTGATTGACTTTGACAAATGGAGGGGAGAGGAGAGGACTGGAACTATTTTTTAATAACTTAAACAATGTATACATAATTTTATCTCATGTAGAAGTATCAATATAAATTGAGAAATAAAAATCCAATTATGAAATCTGACTTATGAGCTCTTTACCATGATTTCTTTGTATGTATTGCCCATCCTTTCTCAGCAACACAATTAAAGTTAATCAGCTTTAAATTATCTACAACAGATCATCCTTTTTAGTCAGTCAATACTAATAGCTCAAAAGCTGAGGCTGAACAAATACCATAGAGTTTTGTGCTGGCAATAAGGGACCCCAAAATATCCTTTCACACTTGCCCTGTGGATTTCTACGGATCATTTTTTACTGATTAAAAATTCTTTTCCTGAACATTTTGCATTTGGATATATTAATTAGCTCCCCCCACCCCTCTCTCCACAATAATTGTGGAAGTTAATGTGTATTGAGCAATTGAGTATTGACAGGAAAGTATCTGTCTTAGGGTTTTTATCATCTTTCCTTTATGGTACAAAAAATAAAGGAATATACATTTTGTCAACACATCCTACTTAAATATGTAAATCACATTAGGGGAAAAAAACCCAACAAGTTCTGTCATGATGTTTCTCCCATTTTAAACTATGATGATATTGATTGCAACCAATTGTGTAATTCCACAAGCACATAGCAATTACCGTTTGGTAAATCCTCTTTTTCATCCCTGCAAAAGTGTGACATCCAATATTCTGATTTCCCCTGTGCAAGCCACTAAAATGATTCCTTATGATTTCATTACAGTGATGTCTGCTTATGCTGGGTGTATGTTAATCAATTTTTGTGCACCTACATGTGGAATAATTCCATCGCTTCATTTTTTTCCCCCAGCATGGCTGATTTGGTAAGCCCTGAGCATTTTTTAAAACCGTCATTAGACTAACTCTAACACTTCCTACTGTCTTCACAAATACCTTAGGACCCATCATTTCTATTTAAAAAAAAGGCTTAAAGAAAAAAAACTTCTCAACACACACTTCCCAGAGGTAGGTATTTTAGTTTTACAGTATAATCTAAAGAATTTTGAGGCATCTAGAAGAGGATCAAGATGTATTATTGCTGAAGCTTTTATGAATATCAAGATTGTGATACAGCTCTGTTAGTGGGAATGATGTATCTGTCAACCAAAGACAGAACATTTTCTCTTGTGATAATTCATTTGCAGAATGCTCCTTCCAGAGAAATTCACCTTTATCTTTTCAAGCAGGTATCATAATATTCCCTGGATTTATTTATTTTTTAAAAAAAAAAACATTTTAAGCCTAAAGCTTAATTTTCTATGCTTTAGGCTATTATTGATTCTACTTTTATTTATTGCTTATAATATTTGTCTTTTGTTATGTATTTGATTTTATTTACTGCGGCTTATATACTGCTCTGATCCAACTGTTCTCTGATTGACTTACATTCTCTTTTGCGATAAAAAGGTAAAACATTATATAATGAAATGCATAATGATAGTAATAATAATAGCACCTAAGGAAGAAAGTAGAGGTACTTGGAGAATAGAGGTAATTTATCTTAGATCTTTCATGTATACCCAATTGGCCATAAAAATAACTGGCATGTGTCCTTACGATGTTGTACTTTAAATGAGGTATATAGTATCAAAATTAAAGCAATTGAACACCTGGAAGTTACATTATATTATGCCATTCAAATTCATGGGTTCTGTCTGCCTGAACATCTCCATTTTATAATATTCAATAAAAAAATAAAGCTTTTTAAGACAAGGTCAGCTCTCAGTGATTATATGGGCACATCTACATACTTTTTTTTTCTTTTTGACAAAAACACAAAAATGGTATACTCTAGATTGAGACATTCTGATTGTCCCTGTCCCAATGTCCCACAGATCTTATCTTGCTTAGCTTTTTGTCATCTGCTGCTACATCCAGCCAGGGACACTAATGGGAATCCTTTGAAAAATAAGATTATTATTTTTTTTTAGAAAAAAAAAGACTAATCTGAAGACAAGGGTTTCCATACTTAATCCATACTATGTATTGTTAAATGTGAATGCCAACAATTACCTATAGTACTTAAGCCTTGAGTTGCAGTTACAAAGCGTGCAAGAATTTCCACTGCTTATCAATTAAGTATGGTCCTGGGAAATGTTAATCGTTTTTTATTTATTTAAGAGTTTCTTGAGTAGATCCAAATATTTCATGGATGGATGGATGGATGGATGGATGGATGGATGGATGGACGGACGGACGGACGGACGGACGGACAGACGAATAAGAAGAAGAAAACTTAAGCAACTCAACTTGAAATATATTCAAAATCTTAAGGGAAATAGGATTTTAGATTCCTAAGTCTTTCCCGCTTTTTCTGGTACAGTGGTTTTAATTAAACTTTACCAATCCCTTGAGCTGACCTTTTAACACTTCAGAGGTTTTCAGTGAAACTGCCAAAGCTACCTAGTAAGATGGTAACACTTGTATGTGTGTAGGTGTTGTCTTAAAAATAGCTTACGTGTTTTATATATTATATTAAAGTTCATCTTTGATCATTAGGCAAAATGTATTTCATGCCTGAACTCCGCTATAATATACACCTGGATAGTAAAACATCTAGTTATAAGAACATTTTCTCTAATACTGACCCCCTACAATTCAGATCCAAAACTTTACTGAAGAATAATTAGCATAAGCACTAGCACCACGGTGAACATTCATAAAAGCTATGTAAAGTTCTGCAATAGGGAATCGACCATCTGTTTCTAATTACATAAGTGATGGCAAACACTGTTAAATTCATTATATTTAATTGATAAGACCCACGTTTAACCTAATCTGAATTTAATTTAGCAACCACCTTCATATTTTATCCATGTGTGCCTATAGATTTCAGGGCCAAAATGTTCCGATATCAAGAGTTTGGGCTAGTAGAGTTATAGACAACATTGTCAAGGCAAATTCTGTAGCTTTGTTCCTTTGGGATCATATGAAAATAAGATTAATTTATGTAGACTAAATATCTATTATACCTTTTTTGCATTTTGCAAAGCCTTTTTTCCCCCAAAATGTGGATTAATTGGACAGGTTTTTAATTTCTGTTATCCCCCCCCCCAAAGTGAGACATCTCTGTAATTTTGCTAAAGCTCTGGTTTTAACCATTCAATCAGATGAGAAAAACAGAATATTTTAATTGCACATAAAGATAAGAAACTAAATTTTTGAGATAGTTAATGAGTTGAAAGGTGACGCCTCTGTGGTTCAAAGCACTTAACTGAAACCTTTTATGCCAGCAGCTGTGAAAGATTTTGGACTTGGCACCACTTTAAATTCTTAAAAATGATTGAGGACCCCCAAACGGCTTAGTTTACATGGGTCATATCCATCAATATTTACTGGTCTAATGTCTATGGAGATTCTCAGTTATCCAGATCATGGCTGTCCCAAAGGTGCTTTTTCAAAATCTAACTGGATTTTCTTTGTTTTGTTTGTAGACATTTTAATTCTCACCCAGAACTGAAGAAGCTTCTTGAATGAGAAGCAAAATGTGTTCAAGCAAAACAAAGAAAGTTGAGTTGCCTTTTGAAAAATTACTTTTGGGACATTTACTGGTTTCAAAAGTAAAACTAAGAAATTATTTATTTGACTTTGCAGACCTCTGAAATGATCTTGAGGACCTCCAGTGCCCCAGGCCACACTCTGAGAACTTACCTATAGGAAAAGTATTGTATCCTATTACTTAATACTTAATCAAGTATTGTATCCTATTATTAATTGCATAATAAAGCAAATTATTTGGTTTCTCCTAATCAATAAACAGCTGGAAAAGGACTATATATTAGCATTACCCATCATTACAGTTTTCACAGTTCCACACGGTAAAAAAATTCAGTGTTCAAAAGACTTTCCACAAGTTAGCAGATCAAAATTACTCCGCGTTTTATCTTTTGAGTTACCTTTGCTGGCACTTTCTACATGTTCAAGTTCATCAGGGAATTTTAAGATGTCTTGATATTTCTCTTCACAAATATCAGCCAGGAAATGCAACAGGGTTGTTTTTTGATCAGATGATTTTGTGTCTCTAATCTGCAAAAATGGAAGACATAAGAAAAGGGGGAAACGTGATTTCTTAGGACTCTACTTCAAGAAAGCTTTTTCAACATATGTTCTTGGATTTGCTTGCAAAGATAAATTAATTGCATTTCAAAGTTAACACCAATACAAAATGTGGGCTTAAAATATTATTTTTAAAGAACCCTTATGTTAGATATTATTTTTTTTAAAAGGCAGTTTTTAGCAGTTTATAATTTTAGTTTTAATGTTCTTAGTTCTACATGTTCTTTGTTCGCTCTGTTAGATAAAGAGGTACTCCAATGGAAGAAAAATATCTTTTATATATATATATGACTTTCTCCTGAAATACTGTCTAACTATATGTGGAGTGTCTTAAATCTCCCATCACTCAAATATATGACTGTGGATGATTCTAGAGTTATATATGCATATGTGTACACACACATACACACTAAAATTACAAGGATTTGTTGTTTGTTTTAGTTGAGCAACAACAGGGCTGGCCAAACATAATACAGATTTATAATGTTATGCCAATATTCATTTCTTAACAACCAACTAGAATTTGCCATTACCCTACCCTATCCTACCCTACCCTATCCTACCTTATTCTATTCTATTCTATTCTATTCTATTCTATTCTATTCTATTCTATTCTCTGTAATCTATCAAGGTCATCTTTTTTCTTTGCCCAACTCTGTGTACACTGTTAAATAAGCATTTAAGCACTCCCCATACCTCTTCAAACCATTAATAAAAAAGCTGAAGAGTACTAGACCTAGGGCTGAACCTTACTGCACTCTATTCAACACTTCATTTCAGGTTGATGAGAATTTGCTATAAATATTATATGACTTTTGTTTTAAATGAGATGTGAAGCCACTTAATAGACACGACAACCAACCCAAATTTAACTTACTAATCAGAATTTCTGCCACATTTCTCATTGTTTGAATGGCAACAATTGTGAAAATGCTAAACAACCTCCAGTCAATTTATAGATGCAAAACTTTGAAAGCTACCACAACGATGTGGTACTCTCCTGACTACTAATGAGGCTGTGGGTTTATTCAAATACTTTTTTTTCCCTGAACCATAGTTGTATAAATATTAACAGTTCAATGAATCAACAATCATGAATGCTTCAGTGCATATATCAAAACTACTACTTCTGTCTGCCAGCCTTGATGCAGTCCATGAATTCTAATGGAAGTCTCTTTTATTTAAGCAAAATTAAGTCCTGCAATTCTCTGCCAAGGGTTGTTTACAAATTGCTGGTTTCTTCAATAATTCCACAGGCCGCACTATAGCATCCAGAAAGATAATGCATTTTTAAGGATTTGCAATCAACATAAAGATATTAGTTTTGCAGATAGAACCCAGACACATTTAATGCATAGCTTCCGAGATGTCTTTCTTTCTACATCCGCCACTGAAAAAATGTTCTTTCCCAGCGATTCAGGTTCAAAACTGCCCAGGGCTAGGTATGCATAAATCAACAGCACCGTGGTTGATTATTTCAAGACAGCCCTTGTGACAGGTGATTGGGGAGCCTCACCGCAGTCCACTCAATTAAAAAGGGTAAGAATACCATCTGTTGCTTCTAGGAGACCGCTTCCAGTAAGAAATGCTGAGATTAAACTCTTCGTGAACAAAACTAATCTCTTAACTTTTTTTTTTTCAAACTTACATGCGTACATACATAGTTATTATGTCCCTCCCATTCAAGGTATAACCTCACTCCCAGGGAGGTTCAAATGCTGTTTCAAAACTAGCAACCTGAGTTGAAACTCTAGTTATAGTAATTCAGCAACAGACCAGTCATGGATTGCAAAGCCAGCATTGGAAATGGGCTTTTACTTAATGTTACAGATCACCCTGTCCAGTCATGTCTGACTCTAGGGCAGTGGTTCTCAACCTTTTTAATGCCCCAGCCGGTCGTAAGTCGAGGACTAAACCGGTCGTAAGTCGAGGACTAAACCAGTCGTAAGTCAAGGACTAAACCGGTCGTAAGTCAAGGACTACCCAGCCGGTCGTAAGTCGAGGACTTTTCCTGCCCGGGAGCGCCACGCATGCGTGGTTCCGCCCCCTGCGCCGGCCGAGGCGTAGCTGGCAAGCGGCAGAGACGGAGCAGGCCGACCACCAGCTGGCCCAGCCCAAGGGAGGTAAGGCACCCGCCGGAAAAGGGAAAAAAATGGCGGACAAAAAAATGGCAGACAAAAAAAATGGCGGACAGCCTTGCTTGGTGACCCTCGTGAAATGGTCGATCGACCCCAAATGGGGTTGCAACCCATAGGTTGAGAACCGCTGCTCTAGGGGTTGATGCTCTTTGATCAGCCAAGAGAGCCAGCATTGTCCAAAGACATTTCTGTGGCCATGCGCCAACATGACTATATACCGAGGCACAAAGGACACTGTTACCTTCCCACAGAAGTGGTACCTATTTATCTACTCACATTTGCATACTTTCGAACTGATAGGTGAGTAGGAGTGTCATGCGGTACTCAGATCTCAAACCTGGGCTGTCGGCTTTTCAGCTGACAATCTCATTGTCTTTGACAGTTGAGCCAACGCGTCCCCCCCCCTTTGTAAAAAATAAGGCAATAACACAAAAAGCAAGCCTCTCCGTGATACAGTAAAAGCTGCTCTACCATAAAGATCTTTATTTTAGGATTTTATGTTTTCAGTTCTCCTTGCCAGTCATAACTACAACCTGTATTTATGATTTACAACCCACAGACAATTTCCAACCGTATATTAGTAGCATAATGTTTTTTTTATTTGACATTTAGATTCAGCGGCACATCTTTTTTTATCGTAGTAATTATGAACTGTGACTTTTTAATTGCCCTTATTACAAGTTATATTTGATAAATAAACCGATGTGAATATACAATACAAGAACAGATTAGTCTTAAAATAATATAGCTATCTTTCTAAAAAGAAAATGTTTTCTCATCTCAATTTTCCCCCAATAACTGTGATCTTGGCTGCCCTCATTAACACATCTAGAGTAGCAGTGGATAAAAGTAGAAGCTTAACCACACACTCAGATCTAGATATATTTTAGCTATTTATTAATGATGGTCTCATAAAATTATCTATTTTTAACTCTACAAGGACAATATTTTTTTTTAAAAAAAAAACAACCTGCAAGAACATACATGCTGTATTTCAGTAAATTATTTTTTAATCAAATGGTGAAATATGTAAACAAGTTATCTTAAATATCCTCAATTTTCAAGGTTATTCTGAGACAAGGATATTATTTCTTATTCCCACTCAGTTAACAAAACTATTACAGGACTAATTTCCCAGCAGAAAGTATAGTTGGACAAAAAAAAAAGGATGCATCCACTTAGCTATTTCATACATCCGAGATCTTACAGAAAATAATAATAGTTATAATAATAATAATAACAACAACAACAATGTTGGAAGGGACCTTGGAGGTCATCTAGTCCAACCCTCTGCTCAGGCAGAAAACCCTATCCTATACCATTTCGGACAAATGGCTGTCCAGTCTCTTCTTAAAAACTTCCAGTGTTGGAGCATTCACCGCTTCTGGAGGCAGGTTGTTCCAAATATATATTTTATACTGTTCACACTCACCTTGCAAAGGAAACTGATATTAAAACCCAGCGATTGGGCATTTCTTGAGCCGGAATTCATGTAGTTCCCAATCATCAGCACCAGTTCTAAAAGCTTAGTGAAGCTTTCACTCTTCTTCAGCTCCTCACACGCGATCGTGACAGCCATGATGCCGGGCTTGATGTTGTTGATGTGCTCTTCAAACGTGAGCTTGAAAAGGATCCCGTTGAGACGAGGCTGCAGCAGTTTCACTGAGCTCATCTGAAAAGGAAGAGGATGAACGTATGAAGGGGGGGAAAAAAGGTGCTTCAGACAATAAAACAGAATAGAAATGAACGGCAACATTTCTAGGGGATTTTTCCATGGGTGGAGGGATGTACAACTTATTTAAATTAGGTAGTTGTTGGTTGACTGGCTGGCTGGTGGGTTGGTTTTTCAACCTAAGGAAAATAAAAAATTGCCCCCAGGCTTAATTAATTTCATGGATGGATGGATGGATGGATGGATGGATGGATGGATGGATGGATGGATGGATGGATGGATAGATAGATAGATAGATAGATAGATAGATAGATAGATAGATAGATAGATAGATGAGAGAAAGACAGAGAGAGAGAGGAAGAGGGAGAGATGGAAAGAGAGAGAGGGAGATGGGGGGAGGGAGAGAGAGAGAGAGAGAGAGGGAGGGAGGAGAGAGAGAGGGAGGGGGGGAGAGAGAGAGAGATGGAAAGAGAGGGAGATGGAAATTTTGAATTCTGGCAACTTAAATGAGCAAACACCTGAAGCTTTCTAGCCAGCAAGGTAGCCTTTTCACAAGTGGTCCCCTCCGCCAATCACTTCATCATACATATTTGTTTATTCATTCCATATCAAGCTTAAAAGTCCTTTACCATTAAATGACTTTTTTTTTAATTTGCAAAGAAGTCACCTTATCAACAACATAGTTAACTAAAATAACCAGGAAACAAAACCTGACCGATGAAACCAATGACTGATGTACATCGTCATTTAATTTAAATCTGGCCTTTGCATTTTTGCTCAACTTTGCATTGCTAGGGACAATCACAAATGTTTGTAATTGCTGACATACCATTACAGAATAGCTTTACAGTGCTCATTAAACAAGGGTGAACCTGGAATATTGAATAAACATTACAATGAACGCTAGCTGGTGATTTATTTTATTTTTCCCGTACGACATATCCTGTCACTTTACTTTATTCCTCCAAATAGTTTTATCCATGCCCTTTTTTTTTTCTCTTGATGATATTTTCCAAGGCGATATTATTTTAGAGATTTCTATATACATTTTAAAGAAGTATAACCATCAGAAGCAAAACCCGGGTGTTGAGTTTACTATTAGCTTAATCAAAGCCCCTGTGATATATGCACTGCTGAAGGAGATTTATAGAACTCTATTCAATCTCCATTAAGAAAGATGTTGATCTCCACCGCAGAGCTTCTATTACGGCTGGTAACAGCATAATCACCGTGCAAATAATGCTGATGTGAACAGATACAATTACTAAATGTTTTTAGTGTCGCCGCAGAATTATAGCTCACTAAGCCTTGTTAAGCCCGGAAAACAATTTGACTGAAAATTATGACAGTTGTCAGATATGATCCTATGCTGCATTTCATAAGACTTAGATTCTGGTTTTATGATTCACTACGCGAAGCGCCCAGGGATACTGTATGCAATGGCATAATATGCAAGGCTTTAGTTGTATTATGAAGTCACTGTCCATCAAAATAGCAACAGGGGAATTTCATTTTTCAACCTGATCCTTCACGATATTAAAAAAGAGGAAGCAGTACCAATAGCTTCTAAAAGCTGTTACAAGTACTTTATTTCCCTACAGAGCCTCTGACAGATTTATGCTTTTGCTACTTAAAGCATTTCCAAATGGCTGTTTCCTTCCTTGAGCACCTAAAATAATCAGACTCTTTGGCCCTGGTGGACCTCCTTCAAGAGGGTTATTTTGCTGTCCTCCTGAAGGTCAAATGGTATTCTTGAAAGGAGTTAAAATTCATGTCAGGCTGAGAAAAGTTAATTCCTCTAAAGTGGGTTGCAATCCAATCATGCATCTATGTGCGGAGGAAGCTGGCTTATAATATTGAAGAACTAAACATTGCTTAATATTTTTTTCCCCCTCATCTTCCAATAAAGATTAAGGACTAAGCAAGAGCAAGGAAGGAAAAGGAGAATGAATTAGAAAAGTGCTCCGAGAACGGAGAAAGAATAAATACAATCAACATTATTGTACTTGAAATATGTATGTGACAATTAAATTGTATATTTGTTTTTAATGCTTTCTTTAGATTACCATGGTGAAATTCATAAAACATGTCAGGAAGTGCTTATTAAATACTAGATTATTTCTTTGGATCAGAAAAATCTCAAACAACAAACATTAAAGCAACATCAAAACTATAAACAGTTTTGAATATGTCAGTTTTCATATCTGAAGCTTAAAATATCACTATAGCAACTTTCCTTTGTTTTCCATCATTCAGTTTCATCTTCTTCGAATTCTCTGCAAAACTTTTTTTTTCTTATATTAGGATACAGTTCCAAATGCTGTTACCTAATTTGAAGATATAATTCATCTTAATGTTTCATCTAAATGAAAATGTGATGCTCCAATTTTCATGCACAAATAAGAATATTAAGCTAATTAGACTATTATAATAAGTCACCTAATTAGAAAGTGTGACTTTTCTAAATGGATTTTAAACATCTAATTTTGACCTTTATTGGATTTGATGGGTATATTGATTATCCAATTAAAGCCTTATATTAATCATTAACTTACCTAATTTGTATATGCAAATAGGTGTGCGCATTCTGAAGAAAGCAAACAACCTCGCACCTTCAGATACAAATTGCAACCAATCTATAATTTTTAAGCACCAGGGCTCAGATTATTATAAGCAGGAGTCCTTTTAGCAATGATGTGATTTTTAACTGCAGGCTGAATAAGAGGAATCTATAAAAATGATCAGATTTTATAAGCAGCATAGGACCTTTGAAAGGTTCCATGTATTTGTATAGCAACGATGTGATCCTCTAATTCCATCATTTAACAAGACTGTAACAAACAACACATTTTATACATGCCTATGTATGGAAAAGTATATACTGTGAACTTATACTCTTTAACAAAAAAATGACATGCAAGCTTCAGGAAACAACACTGGCAATGCTCTTACAACATACCTACTCCTAACAGTTGTTCTCATAGTAATTTGTGTACTATTTTTGATCCAAAACATTGGTAGCTTTGTTGTTATCACTGTATTTTCACCTTATAGAGGCAACAGCAAGGAAAGCAATAGACAGTTGCTCACTCAAATCTTCACTTTATATCTCCTTTGAAGTTGGTTTTCAGTTAAAATATGGACTTAGATGTTTGGTATCAATACATCTGGGTAACACTTGACTAAGCTTAAGAACAATATAGAACCGTCTAGCCAATATTCAGTCCTTTATTTGCTTACATACAACAAACAGAATCTTGCCAAAGTGAACTCTTACTACTTTCACCCAAATATGCCTGGGAGGCTCTAGGGAAGTGGCTATCCTTACTCTCTTACTCTCTTGCTCTCTTTCTCTGTCTCTTATCCAGCTCTGAGTTGGGTTGTCTCTTATTTGCCGCCCCCCTTTCCCCCTCTTTAGGCAACCTCTCTCACCAAAACCTAAATTAAAATATGTATTTTTTCTTCAAAGAATACAGTATGAGGCAAAATAAGATTAGAAATTATTCTGGAAGATTTAGCTGTCGTGAATGTATTTGGGCCCATATGAGCAAACCTTGATAGCAGAGAGAAAAGGTTGAAAACATCGTTGGAGGCTTCAGACTACCTTGAAAGAAATGCATTGGAATTAAGTTTCACACCCAAGAGGTTACATGGTAATAAAAAGGCAGTGAAGGTGGAATAGCTTTCTTTAGCTCTTAATCACTTTCCACTGATATACCTGCTCTGTGATCCATAAGCAGGAGAATCTTTCTGCGGTCCGGCAGAATTTTTTGCCATACATAAAACAATAATAAAAATGCATTTGTGTGTAAGCGGCGGATTTGCAGATAAGTAGAACAACTGTCAGAGATTAACACTCCGTCCCCAAAATAGGGCTGTTTGAATAAATTAAGAATTCCCTACAAGTTTGAACATGGCAAAATTTTCCCATGAATGGGATGGTTCTTAAGTGGGCTATTTACTTGGATAATTACACAGGAGCTCATCATGTAAGATGTTGTTTGGCTCTAATCTTATCCATTTTTTTTTCTTTTACACTACATGGAATGAAGCCTTCAGCCTCTGAAAAATTTACTCAGCCTAGAACATCTTGGAATCCAAAGAGACCAAAAAGAAGCTTAAATGACAAGTGTGAGAAAATATGGCAATTCTGTTCTAAAGGAAAAGACATTCACAGGTCTTGATGGAGCCCTAAGGGAAGATAAATGTACAAAAGAAACAAGGACTTCTGACAGTGTAACAGAAACAAAACCAGAGTGGCTGCAATCAACACCTATAAAACTGCTAATATAGAAATGCAGTTCAAATTGAGTGTTATCTTTTTTTTCCTTGCCACAAAGTTTTCTTTTCCTAGATTGTATCTCGTAGCCTTCCTTGAAGCAATATTTTAGCTTTGATGAAAACTGTAATATCTAGCTTAGAGGAACCTACTAGAGGAAAATATCCAAGGACCTTACTATTTTGTAACATTGCTCTGACCCTTTTTTTCCTCCCCAAGAACCTAAAGAAGTATTAATGGATTAAAAAAATTTTATGCTTGCAGACCATTCTGCAGCAAAGTTGGAAAAAGACATTCCAAATATCTTTAATTCCACAATTAATTACACCATTTGACCAATGATTAGGGATCCAGCGAGGTGGCAACATCTAGCAAACCTAGGATCATCATGACAAATAAGGCCAGGCAGGATTAAGAGTTTTAGCTAGCGTGTAGAGTAGAAAACAAATCTCTCAAAAAGAAAGTGATGAAGACTGCAGCATTGTTGAAAAAAAAAAAAAGACTTTATGGATGTGTCCAAAAATCCCCACTTGAAGGAACAATTATCTTCTGGAACACAACTTTAAAAGAATTTCTGTCTTGAAGCAGGAGAGGAGAACGGAGAGCGGAGAGCGGAGAGCGGAGAGGGGAGAGGGGAGAGGAGAGAAGAGAGAAGAGAGAGAGAGGAGAGAGGAGAGGAGAGGAGAGGAGAGGAAACACAATTCAACTTACCACAACTCCAAACTGCTCTGACTCACAGAGATCATCATATTCATTCTTCAGTTCAGCTAAGGCATTAAGTTCTTTTTGTTCAGGGAGATTCTTAACCAAGTTCTAATGTGAGAAACAGAAATTAGGATTACTGCTCTTCTCTCTCTGGGAAGGGGGAACAACAATTAGAGGTCTTCACACTGTCCCACATATCTTTCTCCAAGCATACAATGGTGTCCAATAGTATGAAAAAGTGATTTGCGGTAGTTAAAAGACTGTCTCTCTTTAATGTCCTAAACTTGCAAAATGCATTATAACTTCAAAGGATTATTTTGATATCCATGGAACAATTATTTTTTTCATGAAAAACACTTTTTTTCCCCTTAATTCACAGGCAGGCAATCCCCAGATAGTCACTGTTTGGGAATTATTGCATTCACCACCCATTCAATATAATGAAAACATTTCTGCCAGGTTTTTAGCAAAGGGTTGTGTATATCCTGGCTCCAAATATAATGAGGTGATACTATAACCTTGAAATATGAGACTCTACACCAGAAACAGGCCTGTGGTTCCTTTCCATATATTCATGACAGCGTTCATTCCAAATAGGGGCTTCAGTGTGAATCATGAAATTACATTTCCTATTCATCCCCTTCTGAAGAATGGTTCAATAAAGCCTTATATCGAAACAATTATAAATTATACACCAGGCATCCTTTATTCCAGATTCTAGAGCCATCACTGATCAAATTCTTTTCCAGGCAGCCATTGTTGCTGTTGTGATTGTTATACCAGAATATGTTAACTAAGGGGGTTCAGCTGGAATATATTTTGGAAGACTTGGATGATAAAAAATAAATAAATGGCTGCTTCAGAAAGATTCTGAAAGAAAAAAATCCTAACTAATCCTAAAAGCTCTAGTGACACAGTGGTTAGAGTGCAGTATTGCACTCCACAGTCTGGAGTTTGATCCAGAAGGGGCTAAAGGTTGATTGAGCCTTCCATCTTTCCGAGGTCAGTAAAATGAGGACACAGATTGTTGGGGCAAATGTGCTGACTCTGTAAAACCGCTTAGAGAGAGCTGTAAAGCACTACGAAGCGGTATATAAGTCTAAGTGCTATTGCTATTAAAACACACCCTGATCATTGCACATTTATTAAAAGCATTTTCTTTCATCAACCTTGATTTATTTTATTTATTATTTAGGGGAGGAGGGGTGTAGCACCTCCAAAGTGCAATACTGTATGTACCTTGGATGGCAAGGACTAGGTATAAATTGAAAATGAGAGAAAGCTTGAGCGTAGAGATTGCAAGAAGATAAGGAGAGAACGTCCAATAAATACAAAAACAGAGGAGGATAAAACATTCAACATCAGAACTGAATTAAAGACTTGTCAGTGGGTGTTTGCACCCAGTTGGGATTATTACAAACTTTTAAAAGTGTCTTGAGTTAGAGGATGTCAACTGCTCAATAATTCTTAGTTCTCTGCCCTGAATGTTTTCTCTCTCACCTAACACGTGGGAAGCATAACAATTACATGGAGCCTATTGTGAATATAATGCCACTTTCCCTAACAGTGCTAAAGCTAAAATCCTCTTTGTGGTTTGGAAGGAAAATGTATGCTGACCTTACGCTCAAGGGTCAACTGCAAACATTCAAAAATGGAAGACATTCATCAGCACACACTGACTGATGCAGGAAGAAGGGTGTGCTGCAATTCTAAGCTGTCTGTTGTTTCCATGAAATAGTGTATTGCTTAGCACATTATACAGTATACAGTATATGCTCAAAGCACTTTTGTGGGGTGGACAAGCTGTGAGAGTATAAGGAGAAACTTAAAATAAAATACATGCCACATCGAATAGCTTGGAAACTAGATCTGAGGTCGCTTTTAATGTATCACTGACTGGCTTTTCTGTTTCCTACACATCAGGCAGAATGAAATAGTTTTATAAATACACCGGAGCATGGTGTGAACGCAATTCATCAACACCTGCTACATCAGGACACTGCGAGCTCTTTCACTCTCACTAAGCTGAAAGAAAAAATAATAATTTATATGACAACCGACTATCGTTAGCAAACATTTCACCAACTGTCAGCAGCTTTCAAATTCCATATCTCTGTTATTGCTGTGAAGACAGTTATGGGATCCATGATACCCAAAGATGAAATGGGCTTAAGAAATAATCAACCGTGTATGCAATAAAGAGTGCTTGATTTCAATAATTGTAGATAGTCCCTGATTCGCAACCATTCATTTAGTGACCGTTCAGTGTTAACAACACTGAAAAAAGTGACTTATGACCATTTTTTTTATGTTTACAACCATTGCAGCAACTCCAGAGTCAGGGGATCAAAATTCAGATGCTTGGCAACGGGCTCATATTTTTATTAACATTGCTGTGATCCCCATTTACCACAAGCAAACTCCATGGGGAATCCAGGTTCACTTTACAATCATGTTACTAACTTAACGGCTACAGTGATTCACTTAACAACTAGGGCAAGAAACGTTGTAAAAGGGGGCAAAGCTCACTTAACAATTGTCTCGCTTAGCCACAAAAATCTGGCGCTCAATTGTGGTCGTTAAGTCAAGGACTATCTGTAATCAACCTCAGATGGAATGAGTTCAATCTTGAGTTTATAATGATTGAGTTCAATCATTATCTTCCAGAACTGGTTACTGCTTCCATTCAGAAAAATAGATTGAAACGTCATCAGAGCAGCTAAGAACAAGGAAAGCGACAACTTTCAAGCTATGAAATCTGCCTTACGAGGTGGCTTTGTGTAGTTTTCAGGTCTTACTCCACACATGGGCCCAATCTATCACAACACATTCATAGCTACATTACAGTTAAACATTTTACAACAAAAAATTCTGAGTATAATCCACACATCTAACTAGAGAAAGTGAAAAGAAAGTATCTGTGACAGTATCGAAAAACAACTTATTCAATCCCTCATGCTTCATATCTCTGATTTTGCAGGCCCGTCAGCGATGTTAAAAACTGCCCATTAAACAGAACCGAGACATCACTTAAGTACTTTTCCCGTTTCTGCAATAATTTAACAGGAGCTTATTTTCTGTAAATGTTAATTGCACACTTAAAGGTTAGTTAAGTGAAAATATTGAAACAGGTGCCCTTTCTTGCATTCAAAAATATCACCTTTCCTTCCTGTCTCAAAACAACTCATTAAGTGATGCCGTACTTGGGCGTTCTTGTGGGTTTTCATTATTAAACCTATCATAACATATAGAGATGAGCTCTTTCACCAATTCAAATGAAAGCTTTGTTTCCAAATCAAAGTAATTTCTAACAGACTCTGGATTGTTATATTGAACAATATTATATTACACGAAGCTCTTGTCTTTTTCTGATTCTTGTTATCTTGTCATCCCAGGTTTTCTAGATATGCTGAAGCAAAATTCACCCTAACTAAAAGACTGAGATGATGACACAAATAATTAGATTGTTACAGTATGCTAAACAGGATTTTTACATTGTTGTGAATCAACATGCATATTTGTGAATGTGGTCCTACTGTTCCCTGCTGGGCCATCCTTCCATCTGGATCAACTGGATTTGTCCCTCCCTGTTTTAAGGATTATCTCCAGTGAAAGTTTTCAGCATATTACCTTTGTCATAAATCAGAATTTTAACCCCTCCCCTTTTCAGGACATGTAATTTTGACATTTGAAGCAAACTTTAACAAACTTTAACATCCAGCTTGACATACCCACAGAGCTTCATAAAAGGGTTAAATTTGGTTCAAAGAAAATGGCATCGTAACTTACCTGAATTAATGCTTCACTCAGTTTTGCTTCATCTACTTCTAATATAATGTGTTTTATTTCTTCGTAAGGCATGCGGAAAGATCCCAGGAAAATAGCTGAAATGACACACCATCATAATTTGAGAGAGGATATTAAATGAGCACCTCTTGTACATTTTATGGCGAAAAGTATGGCTTTTATCCAGAATTCTTAATCTGAAGACAAGTTTCTATCCATTTTATGCATTGCATAAAATAAAACACCATTTTATGCAATGAAGTTATGGCGTGAAGGATAAAAAAAACTTAGAAATGTAGGCAACATGGTACAAGTCTGGGGATAGATGTATAATATCTGAAAATGCTGTTTTTATGTTTTAACTATATCAGAGTATGTGTGTATTTATGTATTTGTGTGTGTATGTCTATGTGTGTATACTGTATATACACACACATATACACACATACATTTTAGCCATTGTCTATCCAGTGCAGGATGAAGGCCTGTTGTACATATTTCCAACCAATACAGTTCTGAGATTTTTTTTGCCAATTGGGCCCACCATACTTGCTGATGTCAGCAATCCATCTTGTTTTAGGTCTCTTTCGTGGATGTTTTTTATCAAGTGGGATCCATTCTATGGCTGCCTTGGTCCACCTGCCATCAGTTCTTCTGCTATGTGACCAGCCCGTTTCCATTTCACCTCTTGATGATATCGTATACTTTTGTTTGTTCTCTAATCCAGGGGTTTCCAATCTTGGCAACTTTAAGACTTGTGGACTGAGCAAAGTTGGCTGAGGAATTCTGGGAATTGAAGTCCACAAGTCTTAAAGTTGCCAAGGTTGAGGACCCCTGCTCTAATCCATGTGTGGGTCTTTCTATCTTGTCTTGTAATGCCGAGTGTGTATCTTTCCATGGCTCTTTGCGCCATTCATAGCTTTTGTATCGATTGTGAGGTTAGTGTCCATGTTTCACCGGCATATGCGGTTAAGTTCTACTGTTTTAATTCTTAAGGTTTATGAAAGAAAACACCACCATCAAAATGAACCCAAGTCCTAATGAGGGGGCAACCATACCTACACTAGTCAAAACAGAGCTAAGATCATTATTACACGTCTATTTTCATCCATTTCTGCTGAAGAAATGGTATCTTCAGAGGATACCGCTAATGGAAACAAGGGCAGAGAAGACAATATAATCCTTTCCTATAATAGCTTACCTCTAAGTATCAAACCATAAACCTACTCTCTATATTATTTTTGAAAAGGCTGGAGAAAAATCGCTCAAATGAGCCCTGGATAAAAATGAATATATTACATACACAAATTCTGCGCAGTCTTCCCATCCAATATTCTTAATTCTTTAACTTTCTTCTTGGGCATTATTATCTTCTTTTCCTCCACATTCTCCACTGTCTTTTTCACTACAAAGCAAAAGCAGCGTCCTTGGTTATTTACATACACAGAAACCTTTAAAATGCCAGAGTTGGTTTTCTACATTTTTCTTAAGACCTTGCTTAATTAAAACAACAAAATATCAAGTGAACGTGCACGCTCAAAAGAATGGGATAAGACCCACAAAGGGTAACATTTGAAGTTTGCTTTGGGGTCTAAAAGATGTTGTTGCTAAGACTAGGTTCCAATTGGGCAAATTGAGAGTTTCCACCAATTCCAAAACAGACTGGAGAATCGTCCACTCTTTCCATCATCCCAGCCCTACTCAGCTGGTTGTCTCTAATACCCACAATTTTCTATCTCAGCATGTTAGGGCCTCCTACTGGTTTGCAGCCACACAACTCCAAGCTGCGTTTGACTTCTTCCACAATCAAGGCAGCTTAATTTAAAACACAGCCAAGGGAACTGGGAAGGGAGGTACAGGTGTCGGAGAAGGCATAGTTAAATGCTTCACAAAACAAAATAAAACCAAGTGTCTATATTAAACCTGTTGGCAAGCAACTGGGATTTTGTTTTCGACGAAAACGGAGATCTATTTTGTGAGCCATCACGTATGTGTTTATTCAAAACGGAGAGAAAAGCTGATGCAACATGCTGTAAGAGATTGTTTTCCAGATTATGCTTATGTGATGAGCTCCATGTGCAGCTGAGGAAAAAGGATGCTGTGGTACTGCATATCTCTGAAATTAATGGATCCCCCGGAAAGGATAATTTTATTATGACACCTGCTTTATACCTGCACTTGTAACAATGACATTTGCCAGTGTGAACGAGAAAGGTAGAGGAAATTAAACACAGCCAATTGTTCTGGTGACAAGGAAAACCCAAAAGAAGGTTGTAATGGTTCAGAGACTTAATTAACTAAAACTTCACTATTAGCCTATCCCAAAATCTGGAAACACATGGGTTTTGAAAATTAACAGCTGCATTCGACTTAATGTACTCTCACACCTGATCATTAACTCAATTACTGAACTCCATTAAACATTACCTCTACACAATTTAACAGTTATAATGTTAAGACAAAGCAAAATATTGAACGCCGGTGGTGACAAGGTAGAGTAGAGGATAAAATGCTTGAATAAGGAATTTTAAAGGGTAAGCGTCTCACCCCTGTGCGTAAAATCAAAAATTGCAAAAAAAAATATATTTTTTTTGATTTATCAAAAGCTCTTCTCTGAGCTCAAGGTGATACACACAGCACACTTGTGGTTTTTGTCCGTTTGTTCTCAAAACTATCCTGCCAATGAAAATTGGCTCAATCACTGGAGGTTTTTAAGAAAAGGCTAGGCCAGGGGTAGGCATGGCTGGCTCAGGAATTCTGGGAATTGAAATCCACGAGTTATAAAAGAGCCAAGATTGCCTACCCCTGGGCTAGACAGTCACTTGTCTGAGATGGTATATAGGTTCTCCTGCTTGAGCAGGGGGCTGGACTAGAAGACTACCTCCATGGTCCCTTCCAGCTCTATTCTGTTCTAATTCTTTATCAACAAGATCTTCAATATACCTTCCCTGCCTAACTGGATGGGTAGACAGGATGATATGAATGGGACAAGATGGTTCCTTAGGTTGCCCCATCCATTAAGTTTCTTCGATTCTAAATTGTCCAATTTTTACACAACTAATTGCACTAACATTTACACAGTCTCATGATCTATGCTCAGATAAATTTTTACACGAAAGCCCAGAATCTGTGCCATCTAACTGACCACTCCTAGGTGAGAAAAGATTAGCTTCCACACTCATAATCACCTATCAGTACAAATCAACAAGCAAAAATGTTTTATCTGTATGGCTAACGGATCACCGCTAATTCTTAATTCCAGGAGTCCAACAAGTTTAATCCTTCAAAATTATTACGTCAGTCGTTCAATTAAGGACTTTAGCATTTCTCCCTTACACCTTTTCAAAGTGTACACACTTAGCAGCACTTTCTTTTTCGTTTAATTAATAAATACACAACCTGCCTTCTTTGCTTAGGGAACATCCCATGTTGATTTAAACATTAAAAATTATACACGCCGAGATGCAAAGTAGTGTTAACAACAGCCCGACATTGCTTGTGTCCTAAGCAAAGGAGACAGCTACCTAAACCAATGATTAGATGGGTTGACTCAGCTTCCCCTGGGAAGGCACTTTATAGGATAAATCCTCTAACAGACGAGTAAGAATCACAGACATTAATTTTCACAAACACCTGCTAGCATCTCACAGAAAACGATGCTCCACGTTCTCTTGGAGTTTTGAATTCTTTCAATGATCCCCCAAGTTTTTAGATACAGGTAGTCCTCGACTTAAAAGAGTTCATTTAGTGACCGTTCAAAGTTACAAGGGCACTGAAAAAAAGTAACTGATCGTTTTTCACACTTACGACCATTGCAGGATCCTCCATGGTCACGTGAGCTACAGACACTTGGCAACTGACTCATGTTTGTGCCAGTCACGTGATCCCTTTTTGCCACTTTATGACAAGCAAAGTCCATGGGAAAGCCAAATTCACTTAACAACCGTGTGACTAATTTAACAACTGCAGCCATTCACTTAACAATTTATGGCAGGGAAGGTCGTAAATGGGACAAAAGTCATTCAACAAACATATCACTTAGTTAGCAACAGAAATTTTGGACTCAACTGTGGTCGTAACTCAAGGACTACTAATTGTTTCATTTTTCTTAAATAGTTCTTGGTCTTCTATGCTCACCCACACACAACCTGGTACAAGGATAAGCAATAGTTACAAGCAAGCACTGCCTATTCATCATCATCATCATCATCATCATCAAAGTCATGCTAATGTTTCCTCAGAAAGTAAATTTCAAATCGAGTTATCTCAAAAACCGACTTCATAGCAGTTGCTCTTAGAAAAACGATGAAGTTTTGAGTGCCTTTTTGCATAATGATGTTATTTCAGTACTAAAAGAAAGCAGAGAAGTCCACTTTGGTGAAGTTTTCCTATAAAAGCTCTTTCCCTTTTCAAGGAGACCTCAGTGCAGCTTCTTCTTTTTTTTTGCAGAAGAGAATAAAGCAAGTGACTCTAGAGACTCTCCATAGCTCCAACCGTTTGCAATATTTATGCCATTTTGTCTGAGAAATAATTCCTCCTCTTAGTAAAGTTGACACTGATGCTAGGAGAGCTACCATATTCAGGATATATGGCATTTGTTCTGAAATATTCATTGGGCATACTGACACCTTAATAAGATTTTCTTGATCGACTATGCTCTTTGACACGGAAGAAATTTTTTCATTATTATTTTGTTTTGTTGTTTTTAACAGAAAAAAACAGGGACAACAAATCTGCAGTCAGTTCTAGGTGCAGTGGACAATGTGCCTGCACATTTTTCTGCAAGCAAAGTAATGATGTTCACAGGAAAAAAAAATGATGCCTTCCCCCATTGTTCTTGTTGAAAATGCAAACCTCAGCACTATTATTGATTTGTAGATGTCTCCTGCAGTTCTGAAAATACATTTACAATACAATTACTTAAAAGACATACATAGTAACTAAAGCTACTAATCCATCTTCCCACCCACCCCAAAATGTTACAGTGTTTAGTGATCGAAGTTTAGTGATTGAAGTTACAATGGCACTTAGGATTGGAGCATCTCTACAGTCGCGTGATCAAAATTTGAGGGCTCGGCAACTGGCATGTTTCAATGACGGTTGCAGCATCCCAGGGTCACGTGATCACCATCGGCAGCCTTGCCAGCCAGCTTCCAACAAGCAAAGTCAATGGGAGAAGATGGAGTTGCTTAATGACCACATGATTGACTTAAAAACTGCACGACTCACTTAAGAACCACTGTGCTTAGCAACAGAAATTCTGTGGTCGTAGTTCAAGGACTAATTGTATACAGTACAGGCTATCATCGGAGGTAAAACCTGAGTTACTAATATAAAGATCCCTCTTGTCGTAAAATTATGATGGGGCATACAGGACCAGAGAAGAGCTGATCTGTTGGCTCTGTTCAACTGTCTGCAATGGCTGAGATCATTGTTCAGTTTCTGCTGTTTCCACGATCAGATAATTCACTGCCTCTCAGAAGATCAGTTGCTTGAAGAACTTTTGGAAAAAGTTCAGTAGCTCAAAATATCTTTTTTCTGTGTGGTCCATATAAACCAAGGGATGCAAAAGGGAACAGTCAAGTTATAGTACCCACGATGGCAATCATCCTCGTCAGCTCATGTGGCCACAGAGGGCTCTATCTCTGGAACGCTGTAGTGAAGACTGCATGATGAAATCTCCGTGCAACCAAAGTTGTGTTATTGTGCAATATTGTCTAATAACCCGAGGTCAGCTCTGCACGGCTTTACATCTCCTCCAGGTGATTGTCGGCTCTAAATTCTGTTCTTATGAAGTTATAAAAAAATGTATAGAACAAATCAGCAAGTTAGCTTCCAGGAGCGATGTCTCCATCATGATGTTTTACCCATCAAGCCTTTGCAACCAGTTGTAGTTTGCAGAGGAAATGAACAGAAAACATAGAGTTCTTCGGCTTTTATTTCTGTAGTTATTCTTTCAAAGACAGAAGGAAGAAGGAATTTCTTTACTAACTATTAGCCTTTTAACATTATTCAATACCACATTTAAGCAGCTGTCCCCTCCTCCATTAGGTTGCCTGGATACAAATTCATTCATTTCCTTCAACAATTAAATTCATCTTCAGGATGACATATAACGAAATCCAACGGTATTATTTTTATAAAGCACTTAATACTTTAGGGATGATGTTTTTTCTCCGAATTCTAAGTGTGTAGGTACATGAACGTGTGGGCTGTGTCTGAAAAACACAACACAGACCTCAGATGACCTCTTGTTTATTTGTTGAAGTGTTTTGTTTGTCAGGCTGGCAGAATATTCAGGAGGAACACGCTAAATGAATGTTTTTTCAAATTCAGCAACTTTAAAATGTGTGAGCCTCAACTCCTAGAATTCCCTAGTTGTGACTAAAAGACATTACAA